TGCTTGGGCAGAAGCCGAATCGATTACTTTCTGAGAAAGCAAGGCGAATAAATTTGTAAATATTGGTGTGTAAACCATGCCTGTTCAGGATTAATTATTAATCAAATGCTCCTTTCAATTCATTTAATTATCTAGTGAGATTCTTTAGGGATAAACACAAAACGATTTTGCGTATCTAGCCTGTATCCAAGGTGTCTGTTCACTTGTTTCGTTGTAAAAAAGATGCATAAGAAACATCCAAAATTGTAGACGATAACACGCCTGGGATCAGAATTCACCCCATGTCGTAGCGGGAATTAAAAAATTTTACAAAGTGGTTTCTACAATTTCGTCTGGAATTCTTTTACTGCTACTACGGAAATCATTTCTATAACTCCAAAAGTTTCAAATATATCTCGGAAAAAAGAAAATGCTCCGGAACGAGACTAATGTAAACGAGTTGTGTTAGATTTGGTTTCGGGTTTAGGCCTCGGTTTGGGCTCGGATTACTGAATCACCAGGCACAATTTATTATTATTTTTGAGCTTGCTGAAGAAATCTTACCTTGTGCTGAACACTGAGAAGAACGACGACATAGTTACTCACAAGAACTATCCAGACTAACAAGTCGACGAAATCATGTCAAGAATGTAATTTTATGTTTTATCCTGGTCTTTTATGAGATAAAATCAGGTACACGTAATTAATAATCATATAACATGTGTAAGCAGTTAAGAAAAGCAAAAAAACATTCACCTTTAGACGTTTTAAAAATCACCTGGTAATTCTATGTTTGTTCGATCCCTTTAACGATTCAGATAGATGCCTCATGTTTAATTACGGTTAATTTTGTTTATCTGTGTTCAAAGTTCATTTCAACAGCCTTGGTAAGTGATCCTTTTAGAGTTTAAGAAATTATCGGGACCACTGTTTACATGGAATCTGGAATTTAGTCAGAATTGAATTTTGTTGATTGTGCCAAGATACGAATGTGTACTGGGAGAGACGTACTTAAAGAGCTAGTTAGATTTGAGGTGTTTTGTGTATGGTTCACTTTAGCCGGTGCCTTACACACAGGAATATGTGTTATTTAATGACCCCGTATACTTTTTCGGTCATACCGGAAGTTGAGTCACCCAAGTTTTAAGTTTTTGCATTAAATGAATTATCGATGAATCGGAGATTTTTTTAATGGAAACTGTTCAATCAAGAAATTATTAACCGATCAATTGGACAGCGTCGTCGCTGATTGCAAGCTGTAATAAGTAACCACGGAGGAATGTCTTTCATTTTCCCGCAAAAAAAAATGGTAATATGATTTGAACGGTAGTTTTTCCCGAAACCTATTAATAGTTTTTACCAATTTTTGAATTTAAATATTCAGATTGTTAATAAAACGTTTCGTTTCAAAGAAATAATCAGCAACTTTATTTTTTGTATAGCCCATAAAAAAAGTACATTGTGTATTGAGTAACATTTTTTTACTACGAATACAATTACTATGTACGGCACCCTAAAACACAAGAGTTTGGTTTCAACAGGATGGTGCACCCACGCACAACACCATAATCGTGCGAGAATACCTATTAGAAACTTTTCATTTTCCTGGATGGCCAATACTGCATAATTGGATAAAAATTTTGAATCTCCTGTACAAAAGACAATTTATTTCACAAATGAGTGCATTTTACAAAACTTAACCCCTTAAATCTTGTTTAGGCTCAGAACTGACCGAATTTCGGTCGACTTATGGACAAAATTGTCCAAAGTTAAGTTCAGAGAGTAAAGTATGCATGCTTTCTTGGAGGTTACACGCCGTAGTGCTCTCCATTATGAATTTTAATTTAGCTTACAAAGTGATCCATTTATATCTTTATTAACAAGCTCCTGCGAATTCATAGTTTTGCGTCGTGTCTGCCCGTTAGCAAGATATCTCGAAAGCGAATGGACCGATTACGATGAAATTTGGCAGGTGGATTCTTTATCAAATTATGCAGCGTCTTTTCATTGATCTCGTCAATTTAGCGGCGATTTTCCGGAATTGGATTTCCTAAAAACGGTGAAAGCATTTAATTTAGAACTAAATGCATTCGTTCATTTTCGAGTGAACGATAGTTAAAGAAGATTCCCCATTAGTAAACGATCGTAAACTGCTGTATTAAAACAATGAAATTCTAACAAGGGTTTGGTGTTGGAAAATATTTTCCAGTGAAACACCGTAAAGTATTGTTTCTACCAAAACTTTCAGTCGAAACTAAAGCCATTAGTGGATTAGGCATTATTAAAAAAAAACATTACTCGTTCCGCCTATCGAATTGGAACGTTGTTTTTGATCATAACTAGAAAGATTTAAAATTAACCTCCGAGTTAGTATTACGTTCCGCGTGATGCCACCTTTTACTTTTATTTCTCGCACAATCTCGACCCAAACTGATGGCAATGTTACACTTACAGGCAAACGTGTAGTAGTTGACGAAGCTGCCATCAAATCCATCTTACATTTGTTTTGATACCAAATATCCTTTTGATGTGTATAAAATCAATACACACAAACGCATTCTTGGGTAACTTTAGATGGGGGACACCTGTCATAGAAGAATGATAAAATTAGAATATGGAACAAGAAATCTCCAAGTAACCTCTTGCTTGCTGAAAATTTCGCCACCTTCACCTTCTGCAATGTTTAATATTGCTGTTACTTTGCATTCTTTAAGTGTTCTTCTTGTATGCTTAAGAAAATTTATAGTAGCTCGGAGAACTTGTTGGCATTTTAGAAATTATAAATTTAGCGACAGTCAATAGTCGGTTTGAGACGATAATTAGCACATTTCCAAAAATTTGAAAGGTCTACTATTGTTGCCGCTTTGTACGTCAGTCTGTTCTTTATATCTTTATCACAGGGAAAAGCAAAAATGTGAAACTATGTATTAATTAATGAAAGTTGTGTAATGCGCTCAGAGGACTCAAAAAAAGGGATAGAGAAATAAGGAACGAATATTATAGCGGCCCTAACCAGCAGCAGCTGACAGTGAACAATTAAATAACACCTACCAACGTTAATAAAGTCATAAACACTTAATACAATGAAAGAGTTGAACTAGTTTAAACATGAAAAGACGGACAATTACTTAAGGCAGCATTGGGAATGGGAGAACTCCATTTTTAGCAAAAAGGTGATCAACTCGTAGTTAGGATCAATATGAAAACAGGCTTCCAATTCCAATTCCAAATTAGCTTTTGAACCACATATCTCAACGTTTTGAGCTCAGAAAGTGCGCTTTTCTACCTTATCTGTAACAGATAACAACACAAACAAACAAATAAGAGAGATAGTGAAGCGCGGCAAATAAATTTTACGCCGACAATATCTAACGTCTGACACTAGGGTAAATCGTTTAAGTACTAAAACCGTAATTCTCAATATGTCAATAAGAATCGATAATTCAATTTTAGGTTAACTAAACAAATTTTCACTTGACAACGAATCGTCCGTACAAATCAATGTATGAAAGCACAAACGGGACGTTAACTTCAAGAAAATCACTTTACGATGCCGAAATAACTACATTTCTATACAAGAAATGTAATCAAATTTATTGAAAGTGTAAATAAGATAGTATGAACAAATTTATCGGAGTGACACAAGTTACTTAGCTAAAAATCGTAGATATTTGTTTTGGACTAGGTGTCGATAACTTCAAAAACTAATTTACAAAGCAAAGCAATTCGATAAATCGGTTAAACATTCTAATATAAAGGATATGAAACGTAGCTAAGCTAGTACTAATGAATCTTCGAAGTGACTAGAAGTAACTTAGACAAAGTCGGCTCCTTTGTCGGGACCTTAGTACTTTGTATTCAATGGATCAACCACAACCAATCAGAAATAGAGAGACACGCTGCAAAGAAATATGGTGATATCTGCTACTAAGGGCTAAGGTAAAAAGGAATGGCGCCTCGAGAAAAAGTTTTACGTAAAGGAAGGCACGATCTTCCTGCGAGGAAAAAACTACGCAATTCCAAATTAAAGAAGGGATTGAATTAGAAGTGTCACGGGAAACATTTGCACGACCTGTAGCGGCGAAACAAAGAACTATTGTAAATGAAACCTATAACAATCGGATTCGGACGTACTTATCGATAACATCCTGGGCACGGCCGTCTGAATTCAGATGGGCGCTATCCGGCGATAATCTGCAATCAGATAAAGAAAACAAAAGAGAAGGCGGCAAAGAAGTGCAAGAAAAAAACTAACGTTTGTCACATCGAGCAACACGAACACACAAACATTGTAATTAACACTGAGATAATTAAGAAACTTGATTGGACAGTTTTTGAATTTTTACCAATGACATTTCTTTATTTAGGCAATCAACCAAAATGAGATTCTCAACTACTGTGCAGCAACTGGTTCTTAAAGCGCCTTGCTCATTTGTCACGTTTATGTAAGCATGTGCCTATTATAAATCATCAATTTCAATTAATCATCTAACCAAGAGAAGCTAATAGTAAGAGACTGCCTATAACATACGAATGATAATCATATAAGCATGTACTGTCAACCAATTAAATAGAGCAAAAGAATTCCAGGTCAGGTACAGCTTTTCGAGTGTATGCATGGGTCCTGTTTTCCTACCACATAAATTCACGAGTTTGGAACATTAGCCATTGTCGCAAGGTTGAATACGAATACACGAAACTTACCTTATTTTTGTTAACGGCGTCCAATGTATTTTTAAGAATCCTTGAAAGCCTTAATGCCACAGCAAAAAATCATGAAATAGTAAATTATGCACACTGAGATAATTTAATAACGGAAATACGCTCTCGTGTGGGGCCCGAATGGCGTGTGAGATAGAAATGTATGAATGATTTTTTCACAGTACCGTTTTATCTATGTCATTCCTCATAATACATAAAGATATTAAGTAAATGAAACGAAAGCTTTTATATTTCACAGTAGTTGTATTGAAAAAAAAAGAGATATACTTGTATAATATATTTTTCGCAAATCTGTTGGAATGACTTCACTTATTTAACTTAAAATTATGTAGAATCTATTAGAGAATACGAGCAGATATTTTATACAACAAAAATATAAGTATCAGTCTTAGATTCAAGCTATGTATACTTTCTTTACAAAAATTAAGGAAAGGGTAAATTACATTTATAGCTAAAGCATCTCTTAACGTTAACGATACATACAATTTTTTACATTATCGAGAATTATTCTTCCAATTTATTGTAATATCGGAGACTGATATAGTTTTAAACGTTTAGAAAACTTAAAACATTAATTATTGTACCATTACTCAGAATTTCTGTACATCTCCCAAGTGAAATAATGCACACCCCTAAACTATGGCCAAAATAACACAATGTACTATTTACATAAGGTTAATATGGTAGTTAAGTACAGAAATGTATAAGCTTCTTTTTGCCGATTCGAAGACGAAGGAAACGTAAAGTCGTCTATAGCGTCGAGTTCTTGGCTGCTAGGGTCACTTGGGTTGCTACGAAGTCGTAAATCTGTATGAAATATTAAAATAAACTGGCAAATATTCTCCTTTTTTATGCTTGTTGGCATCGGTATAAAGCAAAATAAAACAAAAACTCGCGCGAGATAATACTAAATTGAATGCAAGCCGAGAATATTTATTCAATATAATCACTTATAAATTTTAAATGTCCATGCCAACAATATTTACTTTACCTCGTTCTTTTGTGGTTTCAGGAAAGAATATCTCGTTCGTGCTGAAGTCCGGATCTTTTTGACGACCTCGTTGCTTTGCGAATTCTGAAAAAAAAATTGATGCACAAATGTCACTATTTACCTCGACGGCTCACCTAGATCGGTTGGCCTGTTTGTCGGAATTACTGTTGTTGTAATTGGTTTCTGAGGCGTGGATGGTGAGGGTATATCTGAAATTAAAATTAGCAATACAGCAGTTGCCAACAAAGTAATTATCTTAATATGACTTTATTAAAACGCTATCTTGTAATTATCATTATGAATACTTTATTGGAATATTATGAGTCAATTAAATTAGGTAGATGCAAGAATTTAATGTACTTCCTTAAATAATTGAATGTAAAATATACAAGGGGTTTAACAGAAATCTATCGATAATACTCAAATAGTCATTATAATTTGTGATTTAGTAATAAATTTCAGGGAATCAGACTTTCAAAGCTTAATTAAAATTTATCAACTGGATTAAGTGCAAATTTCTATTTCTATTCTATGGACTTGGAAAGTTCATAATGGTATAGAAGGCGTTGTATATCGTGTTTTCATATTAATTTCAAACTTTCAAAGCGGACCAATTTCATTATTTATCTATACTTTCATCAAAAACTGAATATTATTTTGAATAAATTTAGTTAGACGCTT